TAGCTAAGTGCTAGGGTTAGAGGGTGTAAGTGATTATGTGTAACCTTCGTTGGTGCACTCTTCGAACGGTTGTCCCCGTCGATAAGACTGTACGGAGCCTAGTGAAAGGATATCTTCCTTCAACCTATTTAAAGGTACTCTCATCAAGCCTATCTGGCCGTGCCATCTGCGAGAGGCATTGTTCTTCCACCACCCTAAAGTGGTATAAGAAGTTTGATGAGTGGGGGGAGTGTGACAAGAATGTAATCGCCTGCATGCAAAGACTCTAGTGTTTAGTTGTCTAATAGTGTTGTAGAAGCAAGAAAGTCTTTCGACTTGTGGGTCACCACTCGTCGGGAGCTCATGATTATGTGGAGTATACGAAAACGATTTCATGCTTTATAGTTGATTAGGATGATAACATAGAGGGATCTCTCACGGAGTAAGTGGAAATGCTCATCCCTTTTGTTTTCCACACCCAGGTTTTTGGCGAGCTGGCAATGGAGCGATGGCAAGGGTGGTCACATGTTTTATGTTTATGATACTTATGTTTTAAAAGCTTCCGCTATGCAAAGTTTATTTTATGAAATAAATCATGGTTCATGCAAGTCAAGTTAAAGTGTAAGTTCTCAAGGCAACGCCATGTTCAATGTTCAGGAAAAGTTCACGTATGAAATGTTTATGTTCATGAAAAGTTTATTGGTTATGAAAGGATTATGTATGAAACGTTTTTCAAAGTAAGTAGCACCCTGAGTTCCAAGTAAAGTTTGCAAATGTTTATTAAAAAAAAAATTTATTCTAGAAATTCAATGTACGAAAAGCGGGGTGTTACAGTTTGGTATCAGAGCCCAAGTTTTGTGGTTCTGTAGACTCGTAAAATATTTTAAAGTATTTTCAAGAAATGACCACTCGCCACCGTCGCACCATGCCAACTCCGAGGTAAGCTATTTGAGTTAAGTTATTATTACGTGCATAATAGAATAACATGAGTTGGGGCTTAAGATTCTACCCATGAATGGATTCGAACTCTAGAGATGATCAAACATAGTGAGCTTAGAAGCAAGCGATTAACTCTAGTATCTTCCAGAATTGGCAAGAAGAAATCAAAATGTAGTGCCACCAGCCAACGGCATGGATCAAGCTAAAATGATGGGCCATTTTCGAAAGATGGATCCGCCAATTTTCACTGGAAAAGAAGGACCGACACATGTGGATGAGTGGTTCATGACCATGGAGGATATATTCGAGGTATTAGGTTGCACCAATGAGCAAAAGATAACGTGCGGTCAATACCAACTGAAAGAGGATGCTAAGAGGTGGTGGACCACCTATTGGAGGACGAAGCCGGTAGACGAGCGGACGAATTTGACCTGGGAAAGGTTCAAGGAGATCATGGC